TCTTTTTCAAAGGAACATACTGGGGAAACCAAGCCAAGAGGATCCCTTATTAGACTGAGGCTAAAATTGTCCTCTCAGCTTTTTCTCGAAGCTGACTTCCCACCACTATCACATTCTGTCGGAGTAGCTGGTGGTGTTTCTCAGATGGTGGATTATTGATTTATTCATGGATTATTATGATCCATTAGACAACTCAAAATCATGAGCTTTTTTACCTCAAACAACAAGTTTCACTAATTACAGCTTAGGAAAAACTTTTCCAGGATTTGTATCTCAAATTTAAATTTATCCTGATTAAAAAGCCAATTGTTAGAAATCATTTCTACATACTTGCAAATTCTCAGCAAGACAAAACCCAAACAAGCTTTTTGGCAAGTTTACACATTAAAACAATACCAACAATAGCCAGATTATTTTAGTGGAAACCAAATTATGAAACATTGCTTGACATAGTTCCCTGATGTTAAATAAATAATTAGCCCAACTTTCTCCCACAATTCTGGGGGAACATGGGGAGGTCTTGTGCACAGAGGGAAAAGGGAGATGGGAGACTTAACTAGAGAAGATTGGCTCCCCAAATTAACCATCAGGTCCCTTCCCAACAATGGGGCAGGGCAAGAGGAGAGCATAAGTAGGGAATATTCAAAACAGATCCTCAGGGGAGGGAGTATCTCTGGAGATGTCCCTTAGTTTTCCCTTCAATGCCCATGACCAGATGGGTCGAAGAGTGGGTAGAGCCAGAGTAATTACTTAAAACAGAGAACATAGCCATGATAAAGTGGGTAACCTTACCTTCAGCCTCTATTTTTGTCCAGGGCATGGTGAGAGAGATGGAGAAAGTGGGAGCACTACCAAGCTCCAGGCTCCCCTGTCATTCCTAGTCTTTTTTTTTTATTAATTTATTTTGATTTATCAACAATCACTTCCATATGCTTTTGAGTTTAAAATTTTTCTCCTCTTTCCTCCCCAAGATGGCGCACAATCTCATATAGATTATAAATTTACATTCCTATTAAACATATTTTCACATTAGTGAAGTTGTAAGTAAAAATTAAAACCAATAGGAGGAACCATTAGAAAGAGGAAACAAAACTCAACAGAAGAGAAAAAAAAAGATAACAATTCAGCTTCCATAGTTCTTTCTTTGAATGTGGATAGCATTTTCCATCAGGAGGCCTCTGGAGATGTCTTAGATATTTGTATTACTGAGAAGGGTTAAGCCTATCAATATCGCACAGCGTGGCTGTTATTGTGTACAATGTTCTCTTGGTTCTGCTCACTTCACTCAGCATCAGACCATACAAGTCTTTCTAGGTTTTTCTGAAGTTGACCTGTTCATCATTTTTTATAGCGCAATAGTATTCCATTACATTCATATACCACAACTTGCTCAGCCATTCCCCAATTGATGGGCATCCTCTCAATTTCCAATTCTTTGCCATCACTAAAAAAGCTGCTATGAATATTTTTGTACATGTGGGTCCTTTTCCCATTTGTATGATCTCTTTGGGATATAGCCCTAGAAGTGCTATTACTCAGTTAAAGGGTACGCACATTTTTATAGTCCTTTGGGCATAGTTCCAAATTGTTCTCCAAAATGGTTGGATCATTTCACAACTCCACCAGCAATGCATTAGTGTTCCAATTTTCCCAACATCTTCTCCAACATTTATCATTTTCCTGTTTTGTCATGATGGCCAATCTGATAGGTGTGATGTGGTACCTCAGAGTTGCTTTGATTTGCATTTCTCTAATCAATAATGATTTAGAGCATTTTTTCATTTGTCATTCCTAGTCTTGAGAAGAGTGCAGCATGGGGTACTGGGGGGGCGACTCCACCACTTTTCCTACCTCAGAACCAGTCTTTTCTCCAATGTTCCTCCTGGTCACATCGCAGGAGCTCCCTCAGGAGGGGTGCCTTGGAAGGCATTCCTTAGACCAGTGGGCCTCCTTGTGGACCTCACTGCCTGAGTTGACAGGCTTCTCTCTGTCTGAAGGGAGGCACCTTGGAGGGGCACTCCTTAGACCAGTGATCCTCCTGGTGACATTGAAAGTCATCCTTGGGTCTTTTCCTGGCCCTGACAGCAGCCAAGAATTGAGCATGTTCTCTGTCTCTAGCCCTTTCCCTTCTTTTTCTTTCCTCTGCTACTCCTAAGTCTCTGTTGTTAAAAACTCCAAAGGCCATCTCCAGTAATTGGGCCTGAGATGTTGGGGTCCCATTGCCAATTTCTGCAGTTTCCTCCTAATAGCTGGGGCAGATTGATTACTGAAAGACATGTTAAAGATTGTTGCCCCTTCTATAGAGTCAGAATCTAAATTTGTATACTTTCTAATAGCTTCTACTAGCCTGTCTTGGAAAAGTGCAGGGTTTTCCTTTTCTCCTTGGGTAATTTCCTTAATTTTTTGAAAATTTACTTGCTTTTGAAATGCAGTTCTTAGGCCTTCTAACAGGCTCTCTTTCCCCTATCCTCACTCTTTTGATAATGCCATCCTGGGTCAGTAGAGGGAACAGCAGCTGTTCCTGGGGGGTATTTTGTTGGGTCATTGCTAGCCAAATGGTCTCTAAATTTTTGGGCTTGTTCCCAGATTCTCCTCTTCTCCTCTGTGGTACAACAGGTGGAGAAGAGGTTATGTAAATCACCCCAAGAAAACTTGAATTGTAGGGACACATCCCTAAAGCCCTCAGTAAACTTAGTGAGATCTGAGTATTGCCCCAGTTTCTCTTTGACCTGAATGAGGTCTGAAATGGAGAAAGGAACATGCACCCTAATTGTCTCATTAACTGAGACAGGAACTTTTCTTAGGGTAAAAAGTCCCAAAAGCACTATGGTAACTGGGGCAAGGGAGGAAGGAAGATAGGAAGTCCCACTTGTGAGGGACTGGGGAATGCTGGCTGAACTGGACTGGACTGCAAAGCCAGTGGATCCTGCTGGCAAGTGGAAAAATCAGCTGGCACTGGAGGAGGGGGAGGGGTCAGGTCAGATACCACCGAGACTGGGGCCTGGGTAGTCCTTGCCTCAGGGTAAAGTGCCTGGGGAGGAGGTGCCCAGGCAAGGCCCTTGTCTAAAACCTGAGTAGGGGTCACCTCCGGAGCAGAGACCTGGGGAGGAAATGCAGTGTAGGATAGATGGAAGGTGAACAAGGCAGGATATGAAGGGAGGTGGGCTAGAGGAAAAGGGAAGGTAAACCAGGGGAAGGAGAAGGGGGTGTAGGAAACAGGGGTGGCCAGGGGAGAATGGGGTGGCGATAGGAGCTGGAGAGGTGGTGTTAACAAAGGAGGGGAAGAAGGGGATGCTTTAACCCTGGGGGCCATAACAGGATCATCCAAAAAGTCTAGTTGATCCCCATTCCCCCTTTGTGGAGAAGCTGTAGCTATGAGCATCCTACAATCTTTTTTGAGAATTAGGGTCACCAGAAAGTTTGACAAAAGTCATTATGTAGGGAATCTCCACTCATTTTCCTTCCCTGCTACAATATTGTTCTAACTCTGAGAGAGTATATCGCTATAATGTCCCAAAACATGCTGTGCCTCGTAATTTTCCAGGTGATACTGAGGTCAAACAGTGTTGCAAAATAACACCAGCCTTTTCTTTTTAAGTTTTTTAGAGAAACTAAATTTTTCCCAATTTTGTAAAAGACAGCTCAAAGGTGAATCTTCAGGAATTGAGGAGGATTGACCCTTTGTGGGTGTGGGGACTGGAAGTCCCTCCCTCCTTAAAGGAGGATTTGGGAATAAACCTCAGGAAACAAACAAAAAAACCAAAAGCCCAAAGAAATACCTTAAGAGGATTGGGCTTATGCTTCTGGATAGAGAGTCCGAAAGTGTGCCCAGGTCCACGATCAAACAGAATCATTGGACTGAGAGCCTAAGAGTGTCAAGCTGAGTTTGAGACAGCCTCATAGCTGTCTGCCCTAATGGTACCTGAGAGGTCAGGCTCTAAAAACACTTCCAAGCCAAGCCTTTCTAGGTGTTTGGAAATCCCCCTCCCAATCAGACGGCAAGAAAGGGATTAGGGAGACGGGGAGGCCTAGGTACCTTCCAGTCTTGGCTGGAGAAGAATTTGGGATTTGGCAGTTATTCCTAGTCAGGGAACCAGAGGTTTTGGGATGTTAGGATCCCGAGATCATGACACACAGGTTCTGCCCAAAAGAATTCGACCCAAGCCTTCTTTCAGCCAAAGACGAGGTTTGTAAAAGTTCTGCCATATTAGCCAGGCTCTTAGGGAATCTGAGCATCTGTGAGCTATTGTAAAAATCTGAGCAGTGGCTAGATTATATAAATCTGAGCATCCTAATGGAGAAAAGATGGACGTTATATACAGAAAGACTAGGAATGGCCAAGTAGTCTGCAGGGACTGTGAGGTAATAGAACATCAGGGAACTGGACCATGTGGCCAAGGGAGAATGGAGCCTAGCTAGGATCAAGGGTGGGAAGTGGGGACCGGGGAGGTAAGACAATGCAGGGTTAGGCCAGGTATAATGAAAGGCCAGTTGATGAGATTATAGCCTCAGGCAAACGCCAGAGATTTGGCCATGTGGGAAAGTCCAAGGTTTTTCCTTTCTGGGGTCCAGATCCCAACCCCATTACTTATACCCATGACTGCACGGTGAGCTGCAGCCCTGACAGTGAGGGGTAACAGCAACAATAAGACAAGTTTGATTCATAGCCAGGCTTCATGATTAAACATGGATACAGCAGGTGCTTGTCTGAGCTCAGAAAATACCTGGTGCTGGTCAGAGCAATACAATGATTATATAAAACAGTTCTGGGATTTTGCTGTGGCTGAGATCATCCAGAGGGTGAGTGCAGAGGATTGTTGCTTAGGGCATAGATTGCTTCCTGGACCTTAGCTCTGGAAAACATGGTGTCTCCTAATAATATCTTGACACTGTCATGACTCCATGAATATTTTTGTTTTGGTTGGAACAGAAGAAAAGTGCTATAGGAATGTGGTATGTTGCTGAAATAATTTACAACCCATTTTTTCTGTACTCCTCAGGCAGCAGTTCCTGTCCAAAGATCATTATAGTTTCATCTCCTTGCCCATCAAGTAAGACTGGCATACCAATTAATCAGAATGTAGGTGATGAGGCTCAGGGAATAAATGGAAGAGCACCAATTAAAGTATCCCCAATATCAGCTGCAAGTCCAAAGCCACAAGGTAAGTTCACATATAGGTTGGACTTTGATTAAGTAATTTTGTTTTGGGGTCTGAACCTATTACTCCATTAATGTGGGTAACTCCCAGTGAAGAAACTCCCTCTACTCATGTAAACTGGAAACTTGTCTACAACTTATAGTCTTGTTTTTAGTCGATTGTATTTTATTCCTTCCCAATTACATGTAAAGACAATTTTAACATTCATTTTGTTAATAAAAAATTGAGTTCCAAATTTTCTCCCTCCCTCCCCCTTCTGTAAGTCTGTAAGCAATTTGATATAGATTTATATATATATATATATATATATATATATATATATATATATATATGTACATATATATACACACACACATATATATACACACACATATATACATATATGTATATATATGCAGTCATGTTAAACATATATGCATTAGTCATGTTGTGAAAGAAGAAACAGAACAAAAGGGAAAAAAATTTTAAAAAAGTGAAAATAGTATGCTTCAATCTGTATTCAGACTCCATCAAGTTCTTTCTCTGGATGTGAAGCAGCATTTTCCATCATGAGTCTTTTAGACTTGTCTTGGATTGTATTGCTGAGAAGAACTAAGTCATAATTGATCACTGTGTGGTGTTGCTGATACTATTACAATGTTCTCCTGGTTCTCCTCACTTCACGTTACATCATTGTATGTAAGTCCAGATTTTTCTGCAATCATCCTGCTTGTCGTTTCTTATAGCACAATAGTATTCCATTACAATCATAGACCACAACTTGTTCAGCCATTTTGCAGATGATGGACATCCACTCAATTTCCATTTCTTTGCTACCACAAAAAGAGCTGCTATCAATATTTTTGTACATGGAGATCCTTTTCCCTTTTTAATGATCTTTTTGGGGAATAGCCCTAATAGTGGTGTGTATTACTGGATCAGATGGTATACACAGTTTAATTGCTCTTTTGATACAATTCCAAATTGCTCTCTAGAATGGTTGGGATCAGTTCAGAACTCCAAATTTCTCATATCTTCTCCAGCATTCATCATGTGCCTTTTTTGTTGTATTAGCTGACCTGATAGGTGTTAGGTGGTACCTCAGAGTTGTTTTCATAAGCATCTCTCAGTGATTTAGAGCATTTTTTCATGAATATAGATAGCTTAGATTACTTCAGTTGAATATTGCATGTTCATATCCTTTGGCCATTTATCAGTTGGAGAAAGACTAGTATTCTTATAATATGACTCAGTTCTCCATGTATTTGAGACATGAGACCTTTATCAGAGACACTTGCTGTAAAAATTGTTTCCCAACTTTGTTTTCCTTCTAATCTTGGTTGCATTGTTGTTGTTTTGGTGCAAAACTTTTTATCAAAATTATCCATTTTATATTTTGTAATGCTTTCTTTCTCTTGTTTGGTCATAAATTCTTCATAGATCTGATAGGTAAATTATTCCTTGGTCTCCTAATTTGCTTATGGTATCACCTTGTATGTCTAAATCAGGTAACCATTGTGACCTTATCTTGATATGGGGTGTAAGAGTCTTAAATAGCTGCCTGAGGCACTAAGACTAAGTCACACAGCCAATATCTGTTAAACCTAAACCCTGGTCTTTCTAACTCTGAGGCTAGTTCTCCATTATACCATACTGCCAAGGTAGATTTTCTTGGTAAAAAGAGGTAGAAGCACTGCTACAGAAATGATGTTCATTAAATTGCAAAATAATTTTGCAAGTACTTTGTAAGGTAGGAGAGAGATGTTGTCTGTATTTAGCATATATTCATATTTGTTGTGATTTGCAAGCCCTTAGGTAGTCTGCAAAACTGATCTGAGAAAGCTTAAATATGTCAGTTTGTTAGACCATCTATTAACTTTGTATGGGTTATATAGACATTTTGTTGTCATTATTTCATAGAGAGAGAGAGTCTTAGATTAATCTCTAGTACCTTGTAGTGTTGTACCGAGAAATCAGTGAGTGAGACCCAGACGTGATTTAAGATGTGGACTTTATTAGCGTGCGGCTGCAAGGGGTATGCACATCCAAATCAAGCAGCCCCCATCAGGGTTGAGCTAGGGTTTATATAGAAAAGAGCATGGGAAAGAAATGCGAGGAACACTGATGAAGTAATCCAAAGATTCAGGTGTCTTTGGGGGCTATGGATGGGAAAGTACAGGGAGTATACAGGACAGGGAGGGGGATGGATCTTTGAAGTCTGGCAAGAGGAAGAGTTCTTGGGCTGGTCAAGGACACCCCTCTCCCTCTGTCTTAATGAGAGAATGCTCTGCAAGAAGGGAAAGCTTTCTCACAACACAGGAACTTACTGAGGAATTGGGAGGCTTCCAGAGACATGATCTGAGGGCTGGGGCCTGAGCAGCCCAGCTCTGTGTAGCTGTACCAGGGAGAGAGATAAGGGTCATGCTGAGGCCCATGCATGAATAACTGCTAGGCACAGTGTCCTTGGGCTGGGGAATGGTTGTTAGAGACAGTGTTTCTGAGACTAGGGAGAAATTGGGGCACAAGTACAAGCACAAGCACCCCATTATTACGGATCAGAGATCACACAAACCAGACCAGGTGTCCTGGTCTCTGGTATAAACATAATTATAAAAGCAATTATATTGCAAGCTTTCTTATCCATTTGCGTTGGAGGTACGGGCTATGCTGAGCTATGCAAGAGTACATTTCACTATTGTTTAGATTTAAGAGGAAAGAGGTCTAGGGCAAGATTAAGCACCAACTTTTGCTTTCCATGGCTTAAAGGGCCCTACTACCTAAATGGCAAAATAATGTTCTGTATTACAGTAGCTTTAAGTACAAATAATGCTAAGAAGTACAAAATTAATTTTGGTTTAAATATTTAGAATTTGAGGGAAAGAAGGTGACAAGAAAGTAGTTAATCCTTTTGAAACTATGCCACAGAAATAAAACTGGTTTTGTTTGTTTAGTTTACTCTTTCCAAGAAAATATTTTTATTTCTAGTCAGTGTTGATCATCAAAGAGTAAACCACTGTGCATTCTGAAAATTTCTTGATAGTATTAAAAAAATCAATTTCTGATTATTTTGCTTTGGATTTACTCTTATTTTTCTTCTAATACTTTAAAGGCAAATAAAACAGTCGATAATAAGAGCAATTAAAATTATAGTGTTATATTAATAACTGATTGTTCATTTGTGATATACCTTTTTCTTTTTATTTTTCTTAAAACCCAACTTCTTGAAAAGATCAGCCTTGAAGGGCATGGCTGGGTGATGAGATTTTCAAGACTCTTAAGTTGGGCTGGACATCCACAAAATCTGAAAGACTTAAATTCTGTTTTAGAGTATAAACAGAATCCAGTCTAATTGAACCTTTGTCTGGAGGAAGAACCCCATCCTTGATCCCCTCCTTTAGAGAGTAGGGCAACCTAGCTCATGAATAAGAAAACTAGCTGGAGAGGTCTGTATGGAAATGGCTTCCCCTGCCCAAATGCCTTGAGGCTGCTGAGTCTCATGATCCAGCCCTTTATCAACAGAAGAAACTGAAGAAGTTTAGCCCACCTCCTCATTAAATGTCTACCAATCAGGGTTGATTTTCACTTGTCAGGGGAGTTCCCTTTCAGAAGATATTTAATGCATTTCAGGATCTCCCTTTGGTAATTTTGGTTACTGAGAGAAACCACCAACCATCAATTTATTGATTGTCATCTAGCCTAGTTAATAAATTAATTATTAATTACCCAGAAATGCTGTCTCTTAGGGTTTTCTTTCATCTCAATAATTGGTTACATTTTTCAAAATTTTATAATTTAAAGCTCTCTGGAAGGAAGGTTTAAAATAGAATACTCAGTTATGAGAATTTTTCAGCTATTTTTTAAATTCAGTATTTTTAGTTTTGAGTTCCAAATTCTCTCCCTCCATATTCATCACATTGTAAAATAAAACACAGAATCCCACCCATCCCCCTAAAATTAAAAAAACAAAAGTTTAAAAAAGTATTTTTCAATCTGTATTTAGATTCTATTAGCTCTTTTTCTGAAAGTGGATAGCAGTTTCATCATTAGTCCTTCTGAATTTCTTGGATCATTGTATTGCTGAAAATACTTTCATTTGTAGTTGATCATTGTATAACATTGCTGTTTCTGTGTACAACGTTCTGGTTTTACTCATTTCACTTTGCAGCAGTTCGAGTGCATGTTAATCATCATTTCTTAGCTGCGCAATAGTATTCTATCACAATCATATACCACAACTTATTTGGCCATTCCCCAGTTCATGGTATCCCCTCAATTTCCAATTCTTTGCCATGACAAAAAGAGCTGCTATAAATATTTTTTATATATAGAACCATTTTTTTTAATCTCTTTGGAATATAAACTTAGTAGTGGTATTGCTGGGTCAGAGGGTTTGCATGGTTTTATAGCCCTTTGGGTATAGTTTCAATGGTTCTCCAGAACAGTTGGATCAGTTCACAGCTCCATCAACAATACATTAGTGTCCCAGTTTTCCCACATCCCTTCCAACATTTGTCATTTTCCTTTTCTGTCATATTAATCAATCTGATCAGTCATCTTGATCTATGTCTTGCCACTGGACCCAAGTGGCTCTGGAGCAGAGAGTGAGGCTGGTGACTTTGCACATCCTTGCCTCACTTAAATCCAATTTACTTTGAAGGCATCACCGTCATGATGTCATTGATCCCCTTTGAGAACAAAGGACAAACAATGAGTCAATTTGATAGATGTGGGATGGTACCTCAGAGTTCTTTTAATTTGCATTTCTCTAATGAATAGTGATTTAGAGCATTTTTTCATATGACTATAGATAGCTTTGATATCTTTGTCTGAAAACTGCTTGTTCAAGCCTTTCACACCTGTTTGCTATTATTTAAATGCAGAATACAAAGTAATTCAATATGATTTCAGGGATTGGACATTAGCAGCTAGAGAAATTTGGAAAGGCCTTATGTAGGAGGTGGCATTTGAACTGATCTTTGTTTTGTTTTTTTTTTTGCTTTTTTTTTTTGGTGAGGCAATCGGGG